TGAGGTCGGCGAGGCTGCCGCTTGTTTTGGGCATTCAGGGCCTAGCCTACATATCCCTGCAATCTGCAGGGCATAGTTACTTTCATTTTTGTTATGCGAGATATACATACATACCCACATACGTACATATATATATATATGTATAATACATATATGCACATGTAGACGGGCATTGCATGGGGATTGTTGAGTACAAGGGGTAGTTTTGTCAAAGGCAGGAAGGCGCCTTGTATCATGTTTCACGGCAAAACATATGTGTTCGCAGCAGAGCAGTAAACGTTGGCGGATTTTCTGATGGTACCACATGGGAGACATTTCATATGAGGGGTTGGGGGGGCAATATGGGGTAATTGATTCTAATGCTTCAGCAGAGCGGGAGAGAAAATTAATTATGAGTGAGATTTGTGCTGCGTGCGGTGGTTTCTACTTACTCCGCATAGTCACAGCAGAGACGTAAACAACCATCAAGCTCAGCTGCAAACAGACTGCAAGCGGTAATGTAAAACCCTGATTAATGAACTCCCTCTTTTGAAGGGCCTTAGTATTCGGATCCCTCATGCAATCCCATTAAGGGGAGGGGGTTCTAAACCAGGGGTAGACATTAGATGAGATCGAGGGGCCCTCTCCTAAGAGACAAGCTGCGCTTGCATATCCCTGAGCTATCTCCAGTATTATTAGGCAATTATTAGGGTAATATAACCCTAACATGATACCCTGGGCTATTATAATGTAGTAGTTTCCGTTTTCTTCTCCATTATCCCAGTACAACCCCAATATCACCCCAATATTCTCCTTGCTTCTGCATAGATAACTTGAAATTCTGAATTCGGGAGAGCTGAAGAGCAATCCAGCCACTTGACTTTTGATTCCTATGGCTTGGAGCCTCGTGCAAGATGCTCCAGAGATGGGGCCCTGTCTTCGATATCACTGTCATCGGCGCTGGTCTCAGGTTCTGAATTCATTCACGCATGTGCCAAAATTGGAGACCCTGCACACCTTCAGGCAGCGGGGCCTCCCTACTGGGACCCCGGACCAGATGGTTTGGAAAATTCTCCGCATGCAGAGATCCTTCAAAACTTGATTGCCCACATGGAAGCTTGCAGGCGTCGAAAAAAGGACTCTTAGAAGGGATCAGCATCTTTGGTACATTCATGTACTATGCCCTGGGTAGTGCCGCCACTCTGTACCAGTTGGAGAATATTTATAATATACTTGTATATAGCCCTTAACATGACCCCCATATAGACTGTTACAAGGTGGGGGCAGTACCCCAAACTATACCTCCATGACACGAGCCATCGCTCGCCGAGGCTGGGGGTCCTTGACTCAGTGACTCCAAGATGCTCAGACACAACTACGCAAGGCAACTATAAAGATGCTGGTGATAGCAATAAGGGCTTAGGGTTTAGGGTTAGGGTGCTGGTGCTAGCAATACGAATAAGTACCTCAAGCGCAAGTCTCTGGAAGGGGTGATTAATAACATCAACTGAGAAGCGTTTTTTAGGCGTACGCATCGCGTGGCTGGCTGCGGAAGCAGCCTCTCAGCGTAGTTCGAGTAGGATATCTATGTTGGCACAAGAAACTATAGATTGAAACTGCAACGTCATAGTGTTATCTGCAGGTATGCGGAAAGAATCATTGTGAAACCAATGCGTCCGCTTTTCAGCCCCACATAGCAAGATAGAACTTGCTTGCACCTTGCGAGAGCCTGTGGCAAAACCCATCCTGGATCGGATAGACACAGAGTCGGAAGTTCTCAGCATTAGGATGCGCTTTGGGCATGAGACTTGATGAGGACGTTGTCATCCATCCCACGACTTCCTGGGCTGAGTGCTGAGGACTCTTCTTGCTTGCTGTCTCTTGTTCGCATACCTATTTGTATGGCTTTCTTCTGTTCCCACATGGTCTGGCCAGCTTTGTTTGCTTTTTCTGCGCCAGCAGCTGGCGGCGTTTCATGTGTGTTTTCTTTCCGCGGTACCATTATTTCCAGTCAGACCAGCTCTTAATGCATGAGCTGGAACAGCTTTGGAGAGAACTGGCACAATGTCATGTGGGTGAAGTAGGGTTCCCTTGCGCGATGCTTGCAGCCGGAGGACATCATGCGCATGTGCGGATGCCTAGTCGGATGCCGCGATGCCTGTGCCAGTCTGCCAGTCCAAACGACAAGCGCTTCTTTCAGTGCTGTGTCGTGGCGCTGCAGCCGCGGCCAAGCAGAACCAGATGTCAAAAACAAAAGATGCTGCATGAGCAATTTTCGGGCAGCGCTGCTGAGGCTTAGCCAGCTCACCAGGTCTGTGATGCGTCTCGGATGCCTGGATTTCTACTACAGACTCGTCACTTGTCACATGCTGCATGGTTTGAACAGCGCAGACTTCGGCAAGATGATAATGTGGTCACCCTCCCCTAAGCCATGCCTTGGGCATAGGAATGTCGTCTCCAGCACGAATAATCATGCCGTGGCCTAAGACAAAGCACTGTCGCGAAGCTTAGTCTGCATGGAGGAATTTGCCTTGTGAGCTATAGTCTAAAATTGTTTAAAGGGGCTTATATGGGGGGGATTCTATAGGGAGCAGTATAGGGGTTATGAAGGGGGATGCTAGGAATTGAGACAATAGCTCATGTGGTATTGCAAAAGCCTTGGGTGGCTACCTTTTCAGGCCCCACCCCTAATGATCCGTCATTTTGTCAAGCGCATCTTCAAATCTAGCTCCAAGCTTTCTCTGAAATTGTCGCCAGAAAGAGTTGCCTGCTTCAGGCTAGGGGCCCGTGCTTCCTGAAAACTCCCCATCCCGCTCCACTGTGTGGGAGCTGTGGGCCCCAGTTGTGATGCGCCCCTATCAGGCCCCTGCTGTAGCAGGACATGTGTCAAAAAGAAACTACCATGTTGCGGAGGTCAAGTTTCAACGGGCGTTTGAGGCGGACGGTATGATATCATGCTGCGCAGACAGATTTGCTACAAGTTTGCGCTGGGCATTTGAGGATGCATTTGCAATCCTTGGTTGGCTTCGGCTCAAGCCCGAAAGGCAGCAGGGCATAGGTTTATCCATACTGCATGGACAGAAATCTGCAGCGTCAAGGACATTCAGCCCAGCTTGCAGCGGGCCGTGGATTTGTGAATCTTCTGATAGCTTTTACGTTTCTAGCAATACCACTCAACAGCCGCTGTTGTGGGCGTGGCAGCGCTCCTGACAGTCCGAGGCCAGATCAGCGGAATGCTGCATAGAAGTGTGAAATCACTAATGCAGACCCCTGATTAATAACCCCCCTCCCCTTAATAGGGATTATGATTATAATAGGGATCCTTAAAGTAAGGCCCCTAAGAGGAGGGGGTTTATTAATCATGGGTCTCCATTAGCTCTCCCGTTCAAGTCAACTTCAGGCGTTCGCGAAACAAGTCATGGGAGCTTCACAGTCAAGCTGGGTGGAGCCCTCAGGTGAAGAATGCCGTGTCAGTTGTAGAATGCAACTCTCATTTGTAGCAAGCATACGGGGTTGCGTTAAGGAACTTCAATTAAGTTACTATTTTGGGGAAGCCCTGTTATTTACTATAAATACCCATTATGCTAACTTAATTTAAGTTCCTTAACAGCAACCCAGCATAAGCCGTCATGTGCCAGTTTGCCAGGGGATTCTGGCGCGAACTGCCTGGATCTTAAAGCGATGCAACCCGTGAGACACAAGGAAGCCCCAGCTCAGCTGCGAAACAGACACTTGCACAAGGCCGACCACGAGAGCCAGCGTCAGCAGCGTCCACCTCACCAGTTTCTTGGTCATCATGTCATGGGAAGATAAGTAGTAGTAGTTAAGGGAAAACAGGAGGACCATTACGGAGCCATAGGGACAAGCAACAATGGAAACGCACCATGAATAATTCGTCATTGCAAAGGGAGACTGGCAACATGAAGAACCAGCACGAAAGAGAATACACCATAAAAGGATTCTGCGTTCACGTTGAGATAACAGCAACAAGAACATGAATGCTAAGAACAGGGTCAAGTGTACTTAATCCCCTCCTCTAATACAACCTCCCCGCCCACCCCGCCTTATATTAGATTCTCCAATTATGTGGTATAGGTGTTAACATATTGGGAGTATTTAATATTAGTGGGGGGGGGCCGGGGGGTTTAATATCAGCCCTAAACCCTAAAGCCTAATACTAAACGTATATATCCCTTTAAGGGTTGGGGGGGGGGGGGTTGAGTATTAGAGGGACGGGATTATAGCAAATGCATGCCTCAAGCCGCGTACTTCGTTCATCTTGGCTCTGCAGCCAGGCTTTCTCAAGTCATGGGTAATGTAGACCCGTGATGAATAAACCCCTCCCCTTGAAAGGGACTAGAATAGGGATCCTGACATTAAGGCCCTTGAAAGGAGGGGGCTTATTAATCAACCCTAAACCATAAACCCTACATGAAAAGGTACTTGGGGCTTAGGGGCATGCAGGATTGTTCACATCCAGCGTAGGGCCAAGCTATTACTACGCTTCTTACTGTCAGGTGCCAATTTCAGTGCAGGAACGATGACGAAGACAGCGGCTATTGCTAGTGTTAGTGCAACCGTTGCAAGAATTGCATTGTTGTTGCCTCCTATTTGCCGATTTTTGCGATGACCACTTGGTTGGCTGGAGGCCTCAGGAAATGCTATTTTCATTTTTGGAGCCACTAGGGTTTCAATCTTAAGCAACCAGTGCCACAACCTTACGTGCCATTTTCAAGACTACTACCCTGAAGGCCATCATTATCGCAGTCATTCATGCTGTTTTGCAAGCTACCATATTTGCTGAAGGAGCTAGCTCTAAACCCTAAAACCCCCTAAACTACACAAATTTTCCTGACGGAAGTCTGCAGTGGCCTTTCCCAGCAACACCTCTGGCAATGGTCACCGAAGTAAGACAGCAAAAGAGGCAAAGAGTTTTTTGTAAACTTGGTGTTCACTGCCTTCTTATTCAGGCTCAGGCAGGAGGAGGGAGAACAAAAAAAGGCAATGGGTGAATGACTGAGGTTTCCAAACGGTTCGGTCTATGAAGGCGAGAGCTTTCATGTGGTAGTTTCCCAAAATAGAGGGACCCCAAAAGAGACCTCAAAATACTATAGTCCTTATTATAGGGACCCCTAAAAGGGGTACCCATAATTTTGGGAAACCCTCATGTTGCGATTGCCTTGTGCTTTCGTGTACCTCGATGCAAATCTTTCAGGCCAATGGGTTGGACCAGCAAGAGAAGGCTATGGAGTGCGCCAGCGATTATGCTTCAGACCATCTGGGTAGGCCCCTGGGATATTCAATATTTTTCCTAATGGCTTTAATAAGGGACCCTATATACTAATATTTTTCAAAGGGTGTTAGGGGCCAACCCAGCCATAATTGGGATGTTGCTGTGTAGATGGTCCTGACCACAGGTACAGACCTGGGCAGATGGAGCATCTTACACCGGACAGTGGGTGAAGGAGACTAACGCAACGTGTGCTTCGCAGAGCGGTTTGGGGAGATGTGCTGATACAGGGTATTTTATCAAAATGAGGGAACCGCAGCATAGACTTCAAAATACGATAATCTTGAAAAGGGAACCCCTACATTACCCCTATATCCCCTGAAAAGGGGCCCCATTTAATCCCACCTTCCATTTCATTTTCTACTTTCCTTTCCGTTTGATTCTCCATTATTGGGGTATCATAGCCCTGAGCCCTAAACCCTAAACCCTATAACCCTAAACCCTAAACCATTGCTTTCCGTAGGGGTACAATAGCCCTAGTGAACCCTTGCCATGTTGCAGGACAAGGCCCAGGGCATGGGAAGATTCCAGCATGCTGCGGGTGACTGGTGCGAGCTGCCCTGATTGAAGCCTGTTGCGGGTTGCTTCCTATTCTTAGGGTTTGGGGTTTGGGGTTTAGGGTTTAGGGATTTAGGGTTTAGGGATTTAGGGTTTGGGGTTTAGGGATTTAGGGTTTAGGGTTGAGGATTTACTGGGGGCTAGTAGGGAAGAAGGGAATAGAATCCCTATATCATCCAAAAAAAGATATTCCCTTCTTCCCTACTAAGACCCAGCAAGTATCTGCCTTGTTTGCATGGCAAGCAACCCCAGGTACGAAGGTAACTTCCTCGACGACATGCAGCATGGATATGGTGTAGGGATGTATGCCGGCACCTCAATGCAGCTCAAGAAAAAGGGTGGGTGGACATAGGGTCCTTCGGATACTTTAGTGTTGTCCTTAATATAGTCCCTACAATAAGGGATCCATGTGCATTGCTTATCTGGGTAATAGTGGCTAGCTCATTTAGAGGTTGATTTTGTAAGGAGGTTACATAAGGCCTAGAGAGAAACACATATACATATATATAGGGATTGTATAAGGTTTAGGTGGTAGTTTGTCAGAATAGGATTTAGGGTTTAAGGATGTTACCTCCAGATGCAACATGAATCAAACGGACAATGAAATAGAACCTAGGAGTTTTTCTACGTGACGGCATACGAGGTTTCTACCAATTAGGGAGACTCAAATATGGCCCCCAACGTGCTACAATCTCCGTTATATCTCCCTTTTTTGGACACCCGCAAATCAGTCAATATACCTAAGGTCAACAAAGCTGAAGGATTTCCAATCAAGACAGCCCGCAGAAAAACAAACACAAAGATTCTCAAGCGATTGTCGCACCTCTTTGCCAAAGTTTGCCCGCCAAGATTGACGGTTCCAAGTACACGGGCCAGTTTGCTTGCGACAAGCATCATGGAGAAGGAGTGGAGGCCGTTGCGCTGCCATTTCGACGGTGCCATTCCTGGCCTCATTGAAGCCGTGGCAGGTGTGGCCCGATGGAAGTCGCTTCCAGGGCAGCTATTTTCAAGGAATGAAGCATGGTACCCACCCCAGCGGCCCCTCCTGAAACACAGGATAGTGATAGTAATATTTCGTAATTGTGACAGTAACAGGAATAGTAACAGTAGTAGTAATCGTAAAATAGTACTAGTAATAGTCATAGTAACAATAACAGTAATAATAACAGTCCCAATACTAGAAATAGTAATAGTAACAGTAATAATAATAGTACTTGTAATAGTAACAGTAATAGTAACAGTAATAGTAAGAGTAATAGAAAGGGTAATAGTAATAGTGACAGTAAAAGTCATAGCAATAGAAATGGTAATAGTAATCGTCATAGTAATAGTAATAGTGATAGTGATAATAATAGTGACCGTGATGGTAATAATACTAATCAAGATGTACGGGGACAATCCACAAAGAAAATTGGAACACCTAGGTCAGGGCTTGTACTCGTTGGTGCCTTATGTGCGGCATGCTGCGGGGGACTCGACCTCCACTTCCTGTGCTGCTATCACCATGTTAGGTGGCCGGATGGCTCCAAATACGATGGCACCTTCGAATCCAACAACATGTTCGAGACTTGGAGATGCGGATGGGTTAATTCTGGTTCAGCATGTGCAAGTCTTCTGAGGAGCGGCACTGGAACTTATGACTGGGCTGATGGGCGCTCGTACACCGGCCAGTGCGCTCCTAAGATTATCACGCAGTTGCGCCCAAAGAATTCTTGCTCCGGAGTGTCGCAAAGTATCATTGATTCACAGGTGGGAGAGGAACACCATGCATGGTGGGGAGCTCAACCCATGAGGTTCAGAATCACAGACCAAAGCGCGTGATACATGGTAGTTTCCCAAAATAAGGGGACCCCAATATAGACCCTAAAGTTGTGAAAACACGATTCCCGTAGCAGGTCAGTCAGGTCTAAGTAAGTGTAGTTAACAGTGACATGTACAAAGCTTTACGTGA